ACACATCCAACAAATTTAGTGTCCAGTTTCATCTTTACATCATGGGTTTCTTCAGTAATATAGTCAATCAAGTAACTGCATCTTTACTTTAAAATTAAAAATGTTGATCAAAAGGAGAAATGTTAAAAGCATTATTTTGTTTTAGCTTTGCAAATAACACATAGTTAAGTAAATCTTTGTATATAGCATGTATTGAAGAATTTGAAAGCTATGAAAATAACAAAGTGTAAAAGAATTATCAATGTAATGGACTTCATAATCATTTAAAATATCAAAAAGTACAAAAAAATGTAAAGATACAAAAACCCTGAGGCAAAGAAAGACAACATAACAAAAAGAAAAAAGTTGAAAAGAAAAATAATTTTCTAGAAAACTAGATAAAGCAAGACAAATCCTATGAAGACTATAAATAATCAAATAAAGGTGAAGGATGGTGCATTGTGGGAGATTTTACTCCCCCCCTCCTCATTTGTCTAGTCTTCAAAGGTTATCTCCAAACTTTTGAACAAAATATATTGGAATATATTGACATTGATATCACATAATAATAAAACCAACAATATCACTTAAAGTGGTTGACTGTACTGTTAATTAGCTGAGTTTTGTATCTCAATGTCATTCTGTGGTTAACCACAAATAATGCAATATATAGCCTTAATCTCTTTGGTTATATTGACAACATTATTCTCAAGGTCTCCTTCAATAACACCAATTTCATATCTGCTGTAACAAGTAAACAATAACTATATCATTAGGTATTATTAAAGTTTAAAAAGATTAATATTAATAAAATAATAATAAGTATGATATAAATCACACATATTTGAAAAGGTTATAGAGCAGATTGTTATCCTAAGAAAAAGTCACACTCTGTTCACACTTTGTCATTTTTATCCAGGGTTATGCCCGAATGAAGTAATACAGGTTAAATTTAGGTAGGGAGAACCCATATTAAAATTTAAAAAAATTGTTCCTCACTTAGTCATGTGAAAGAGCAGAATGTCACCCTTGTATTATCCAATGAAAACCCAGCATTTTAATTTGAAGTAGAATAAATTTTATTGTCAAGCAGCATATATCACAACAGAGATTATACACATTTAAAGTTAAAATGCTTTAAACAGTACAGCATATATATGTGAAATACAATAACAACAAAAATGTTTTTCATCTTTAATTTCAGAAGATGATGTAAGCAACTACTGAAACTCATTTCTAAATGTTATTGGAAATTGATTGATTAATATTCTATATTAGAATATTTGTTACTGATATTCTGATATAAGCAAGCAGCCATCAGTATTTTCGATCAAAAAATAAATGGATGATTTTAACAGAAATTTAAAATTTTCTAAAAAGACCTCCATTCATCCTGATTTAAAAATAAATTGTTAAAAGTGTATTAAAATTCTTAATGTCTCATGAGATGCCATCAACTTCGAGACAATTATGGAAAGTCTGAAAGTTCTGCTAATACATTTTGTAATTCTTAATTTTTATCAATCCCATAAACTTGTCATGTCTAACATTCAATGTGTACAGTAGCAATTTGCATAAATTTGATAACAGATTGAATCAAGTTTCTAATTTGTGTTATTAGTAGAAAGTAAAATAACAAAAATACCGAACTCCAAGGGAAATTCAAAACGGAAAGTCCTTTATTAAATTGCAAAATCAAAAGCTCAAACACATCTAGCGAATGGAAAACAACTGTCATATTCCCGACTTGGTACAGGCATATCCTTATGTAGAAAATGGTGGATTAAACCTGGTTTTATAGCTAGCTAAACCTCTCACTTGTATGAAGTAAGCAATGTTTTGCAATATTTCAAACAAAATTAAAAAAAATTCCTTAAATCAATGAATTTTTATGCCCCACCTACGATAATAGTAGGAGCATTGTGTTTTCTAGTCTGTGCATCTGTTCGTTTGTCTATCCGTCCGTCTGTCCCGCTTCAGGTTAAAGTTTTTGGCCAAGGTAGTTTTTGATGAAGTTGAAGTCCAATCAACTTGAAACTTAGTACACATGTTCCATATGATATGATCTTTCTAATTTTAATGCCAAATTAGAGTTTTGACCCCAATTTGACGGTCCACTGAACATAGAAAATGATAGTTCGAATGGGGCATATGTGTACTATGGACACATTCTTGTTGATTAAGAATCAACATGTGACTAATTCATTATATTCTATTTGCCATTTCTGTAATTGACCCTGTGATTTGAGATCCATTTGTACAAGTTATTTTCCCTTTTGAAGGCCATAAATTTTCATTGATATTAACGAACGGCTAGTGGAAATAACGAATTTATCTTTGCATAATTTGTGTAATCTTTTAAGTTTTTGAAATTTTGAATTACATTTATTAAGCTGAAATCTTTTGATATCATAAAAAAATCATTATTTTTCATAAAAAATTGGTTTGAATGCCTATAACACTTTCAACTTATGCTATGCATGGACCAATAATTGCTTATATCAAGTCATTTGAACGCGTCATTTGAACTCAGATGGATAGTAATTTCATTGGCAATCATGCCACATCTCCTTATTTTTATACATGCATTATGATTTAGAGAAGTCTGTTGAAACAGTTTTATTGGTGTGTCTATTTTCATATGTGGATATTTATTTGAAATTTGTTAAGTAAATTACCTGAAAATACTCATGTTTTCATTCATTTTAGGAAGCCAAATAATTGAATGAAAACCAGAACAAACAGCTATTTGCTGTAACATATATATCACTTTGGATGACTTCTATCATAGGAAATATAAGCTGGTTCTTGATTGTGCTATATACTAGTTGATAATATGCTATATGCTAGTTGATAATAAATAACAGGCCATTTAAGGACCATTTTTGGCCCCTAAATTTAAAAATCATGGAATTCATCTATCAAATAATATGTTACAGCCATTCATAATGAATGAATAGGTCTCATGTCAGTAATGATATGATTGAATGCTTTCTCTCATTGCAAAATGCATGCATTTTAAAAAGAAAACTGCTAACACTATTAAAATTGACCCGTTTTAAGATCATCCCAATAATATTATGAGTACCGGTAACAGAATTGCACAGTAAGATATTTCATCTTTGTACAAAGATATCTGTTTTGTATGGCTGCTCCTTGTGATTTATTGTTAAAAAAAAATGTATGTGACCAATTTTTTCCTAATTACGTCAATTATGACATTTTTATTATCATATGTCATATTGACATAAAAATGGACATCATTGTACCTCCTGATCCTTTGCTCCAGAAATTGATTTGACATAATTCTAATTGTAGCTTCATTTTGTAGGCATCTTTTGCACTATTCTCACCATACTGATAATGTTTAATATAGAAATAAGAAGATGTGGTATGATTGCCAATGAGACAACTCTCCACAAGAGACCAAATGACACAATAATTAACAACTATAGGTCACTGTATGGCCTTCAACAATGAGCAAAGCCCATACCGCATAGTCAGCTATTAAAGGCCCCAAAATGACAAATATAAAACAATTCAAACGAGAAAACTAACAGTCTAATTTATGTACAAAATAAGCACATTTTATATTGACTTCAGATAAAGAGACCAGATAGATAGGATATAATTAGTATAGTCCAATACTAAACTAAGTCTTTTAGGCGGGATATATATTGAATAATTTATTAATATATAAAAAGAATGCATACATTTCAGTTTTAAAATTTCCATTTTTGTGATTTGTTGAAAAAATTCCATAAAGAATTAAATTGAAAATTTTCTATTGTTCAAAATTCAATGAAATTTATTAATCCAGTAATATATGTCATGACTATAAAGGAATGGAAGACCGAATTATAACTTTGACTAATGGAATATATCTGCTTTCATCATGACTGCACAGATATTCCATAACAGTGTAACAAATCATGATGGCATCCATAAAACTTTCAAAGAGATGACTTCAATTTTACCACTAATCCTTGGTCCAGTATCATCCTTTTAAGCAGCAACCATCTAAAATAGTCATAAAATGAACTTAGAATATAGTATTTGAACTGGAAGATATATACTCTATAAGTAGGTTTTTTCCCCTAGAATGTTGGTTCATAGAAATGGAAAGTTCACACTTGGAAAATTGACATCATCTAAGTGGTGACAAAGAATAAATTGAGCAATGTCAAGTTTGGCAAGTTTGCACAGAAAAAAAAGTTTATTAGGACAAGTTAAGCAAAGACATTTCAAGAAGTAATAAGTAAAACACAGAAAAATGTAATGGCAAGAAAAAAATATGTAAAAGTTAAATATAGAAAAGTTCATGAAAAGTTTAAACAAAAGAAAATTTTAGTAATAAAAAGTACAGAGGGAGAAATATCAGTTAAAAAACGAAAAAGTATGGTTAATTCAAACACATAAAAAGATCGGGCAGGTTTACTATGGGATATGTTGTATTTGTATATATTTCATCAACCAGACAATAATTTAAGAAAAAAGAATATTGCCTTTAAATATACACTCAATATTTGAAATTCCTGACGCATTGCATATTACTTAGTTTGTATCATTAGTTTAACTGGAATATAAAAACATGCAATTTATATTAGTATTTCTTTTTTGGCCAAATAGTACAGATTGTCTCTCCATTTGTGAAGAAGGGATTGACTAAGTTAGAAAAAAAAATGTGGATTGATAAATACAGAAAAAAAATCGTATTAAAAAGATTACTAATTCCAGTGAATTATAATTGTTTTAAAATTAACAGAATATGGATCATAAAAGGAATCCATTTTTGATAAAAATACAGAAAAAATTGTATTGAAATTTTGTAGCTGTTACGCAGTATTCATTATATTTTTCATGAATTTTTGTACTAAAATTAATAATTAATTCTTAAGTTGAAAAAAGGTTGAAGTTCAATTTTTGAAAGATCTTCTTTTGTTGGGCAATTAAAAGACATCAAAGAGGCTTACACCCATTAAAATCTTATCATGCTTCGACATGCTTTATTTAAATTGTAGATAGCTGGAAAATAATGAGTAAAGAAGAAAGAAATTAACAAGTGATTATTCCTGCTTGTGAATGCATCAGCTGAAATAGACATTTGGTTTATATTTAGAAGCAAGTTACAATTTCCCACTGATAGCATAACAGTCAGCTGTCAATCACTGATCTCAAGTGTTACTAAAAATAGATTTAATGAAAACCAGTCATGCACTGTAAAGTGATTACTAAGAATAGGAAGAATTGAAACAATGTGCTTTCCATCAGCCAGGTCAAAGTGGAGAATGGCAAGGTATTTAACCATGTTTCTTTGAAGAAAAAATCATAAATAAACTTTTGTACAGATAAGCACTAATTGACCATGTATCTTGGAAAGTAAAAATAGCAAGCTAGACTGACTCATAGGTTGTAAACTAAGTTTTTATTACACACAGACACTTTGTAATATGTTTCTTCTTGAAGTTGTGTGGGATGTTTATTTCAATCTTATGATTGACAGCACAAACAGTTTTTGAAATACATTTCTGGAGGGTTGTATGGCTATTTTCAATTAAACTTTGCAAAAAATCTGATTCAGCAGTATTTTTCTGCTTTTATTTTCTGATTTGACTATACCTAAAAAAGTGTTTTTGATTTTAGTCCTTAGCCTTATTTATCGCTGGATATGCTTTTAAAAATGGTAAAATGATATAATGAAAATAAAAGCTCTATGCACTGAAAGAAAATAATATATGTACTGTGAACTTTTGCTGTATCACACAGTATGTTGAGCATACCTGTAGACAGGCCAGGTGTGGGGAGGGGAACAAACATATATTCAATAGAAATTCCTGGCTATGGGCCTGTTACAATACAAAAAGGAAAACTTTTTACCAAGTAGGTATAACATTGTTGCAATATATTTTTTTCGTTTATTGAGAAGATGTGAATGTGTTTATCTATATGGAAACAACCAATACAGCTAATACAGATTTATGCATATTAGTGAATTTGAAGTTTTTTAGTCATTGAAGGAAATGAAATATTTATCCATACTTATTAGTGCCATTACAGAAAATATTTGTTATCAGATTAAATCCGAAAATGGCAATAGGTCAAACAGGCAAAATTAAGGGCGGGGTCAGTCATGATTTAAGTTGTAGGAGTAGAAATTGGTTTATTGTCAGATCAGGTAAAATCTTTTAAAGATTACTAAATATGTATACTAATTTGGTAAATACATTTTACCTACTGTAAATTCAGAAATTATTGCGAGGTTTTAATTATTGCGACAAATGCGACAGAGTTGTTAACGCAATAATTTAAACTCGCATTTTGCAATATTTAATATGAAATAAACAGGATTTTTCTCAAAATCGTAAAAATTAAAATCGCATTTAAGTCTAAAATGACAAAATCGCAATAATAAATGCACGCAATAATTTCTGAATTTACAGTATTACCTTGGCAACATATAAGTTAATTTATTGCTGATGAATGTAAATATATGACAGATATGTAAACAGGTATTGTTGAAGTTGTAGTTGGATATTATGATGTGTGATTTTGTAGTTGTATATACACTGCATTGGCCATGAGGAGTAACTGGGAGGAAAAGAATTTTTACAATGAAATATCCCTTCAAATAAATTTGACCTCTTTAGAGGATCAGTATCAAGGACAAGTTAAACCTAAACATAAGACATTGTAAATTTCTACTTGAAAGCTAGAAATTTTAAATTTAAAAGATGCAATTAGTAATGGTATCTTACAAGGTTTTATTTTCCATGAATTAACCAAAATATACCTTCTCCTTGAACCTCGAAATGGTTAACTTAGTTTGATTGATTGTTTGATTGATTGTTGGTGTTTAACGCTACTTTTCGTACTAATGGTCATATTGTGACAGTCAGTTTTTATTGGTGGAGGAAGCCAAAGTGCTGTGAGAGAATCACCGATCTCCAGCAGGAAAACTGACAATCCTAACCAATAAAGATTGAAGTCAACGCACCTGTTACATGAGGGGTCGGAACTCACAACCTCAGTATTGACAGGCTTGGGATACAGTAGATGCTCTACTTAGACCACTCAGCCACTGAGGCCCTGAAAAACTTATTTGGAAATTTAATTGCATAATTGTGATAGGTATAGGTAATCCTGTAGATACTGTTGGTATTTTGTTAGAAATAGCAGTTATTTAGGATTTTTGTGACACCTCATCTTCCTCCTTAAGGAAAGACAAAAATATGCTTTGTTAGAATCTAAATGTATGCTTCTTTAATATCATTTAATTTATGTTAATCTTTTGTTTAACCTCTTATCCTTACTAAATTTCTTTTCTTTTCAGCTACACAAGAGTGGTAGTTCACTACCCATATATGGTTTTCCTTGTCGTCTTTGTTGTTATAGCCACCTGTTTAGTCTTGTCTTTGACCCTTGTAGAATTCCCTACGTTTGGTAACCCACTGGATGTGAGTATGATTATGTTATATCAGTTTGATACGCATCATGTTCTGTAAGTTTTAGAAGTTTTTGTCATTTAGTAAGAAAAATTAGTAATCTATGCAAATACCAAAAACTAGACTAAACAAAATACATATTCGATTATGTAGGTGACAATACTTTAATGCAATCAATTATCCATTTACTGTACTGTCTTTTGTTTCTATCCTTTTTGAAGAAGAAATTATTGTTTTTCCCTGTCCTTATGTCTGTCCATCACAAAAGTTCTCTCACATTGATCAGTTTATTTAGAACTAGGGTTCTAGCTATGAATGAGATGAATTGGCTATTCTGTTTAGACATTTTAGGTCATATAGCTCCTAACGTTGTGGATTATCCACACATCCCTGGCATTCAAATGTTTAAGTTTGATTAAGGTTATTCCAGAGTATATGAAATAATGAGATGTGGTACAGGCGGATTCAGACAGAGGTACACATGGCACACTCTCCCTAAAATAAGAAAAAAAGTCCTTTATAGGTAAAATTAGTCAAAATATGGTCGGCTAACACCTAAACCTAAGTGTATGATTGCCAATGAAACAACTTTTCACTAGAGACCCAATGCCATAGATCTATAGGTCACTGTATGGCCTTCAGCAATGAGCAAAATCCATATTGCATGGCAAGAATCCCATGCTTTGTTTAGGTTAGAGCATTCCTGATACTGGTAAATCCAGAAAAGTTTTTCATACACACAAGATAAAGCTTTTATTTCAATTGATGCAACAAAACTTACATTGTTATTTTGATATCATGAGACATTTACAAATCTTTAACCAAAAATGTTGGTGATATGATTTCAATATTGTCTCATTGAAGTTAAATAATACGTGTATTAGATATTCTTTTTTCAAAAGGAATAAAACCACTAATTCATAGCCCCATTGCTTTCTATGTTAAATTCTGCAATTTCAAGCATTAATGGCTACTTTGTCTTAAAATCAAATAAAGTAGCAGTCATTTCATGTCAAAACTATACCTTATTCTAAATTGTGCTGAAAAAATCAACATACCTTTAATTGCATATTAGAGCGCACTGGTTCCCGGAAGTTTGGTAGTACAAAAAACAGGTACTTCCGATCTGAACAACTGGGCAAATGTGCCCTCCTATTATAATTTCTTATATTTTTTTTATTATTCAAAATAAACTTTCAACAAGGTTCCTACAGTGATCCCAAATCCTTAAGCTTTCATTTGATACCAAATTTACCTAAATATTTTACCTATTGACAAAGTTACAGCTATGCGTAGGAACTATTTTGTTTAAAATATGTTCTACTTTCTTGTATGTTCTTTCTGACCGGGCCCGAATTAGTGGTTCTATACCAAAAGAAGATTGTCACACTTACTTAATAGGAAAGCCATAAAAAAAGAAATTCTTATTAAATATTTGGTTCATCTCACCCTTTCAGTTAGTTTGGTGGAGTTGTTCTCAATTCTTTCTTTATATTTTAGGTGGCATGAAAGTTTCCCACCTTTGTAAAAGTCTGAAGTGTTAATTATACCTCATACAACAACGTTTTGCCCTAGCTGTCATTAGTTCAGCCCTTCATGTCTATTTGCCCATCAATTTTTTTCTGGGCATTTGATTTACAAAATGATTGTTTAGAAAGATTAAATAGCTAATATGATAAAAGGTAATGATGACATGTTCTTCCAAATAAAAAAGTAGAGATTGACTGTGAGATTACAAGTTGCTTTATGTCAATTGTCCAACATTATGTGCACACTTTAAATTCAGAACTCATTGTATTCATTTATTAATGCGAATGTTTTACTATCTACAATAATACAACATTAATCAATGCTTTGGAATACTATTACTAGCAGAAATATAAATGCTTTGTCTCAATGTCTTGATGCCTATCCTTTAAAATATTAACTTCCACAAAAGCATCACAATGATTTCTAAAGTTCCAGTTAGGAAAAGAAGAAGATAGAAAGGAATAAAATTATTTTGTTCAGGTTTTAATACAGTGCACTATTATCCCTGCTACAACATAATTTATATTTGGAGACAGCTGCAGGGAAATCTAATTTTAGAAGAATTTTTTTGTCAATTTAATCAAAAGAAAATTAGGACAATTACTTTTGGTGAGGTTGTCATTACAATTGGATCTAATTTTCTTCCTAAATGTTCATTCAGAATCAAGTTGAATCAGGCATTAGGTGACCTCATTCCATTTTTAACTGAAATGGCACTTTATTACCAGACTGAAGTACATTTATTTCAATTATAGATGGATAGATCATTAAAATTTAAACCTAAAAACCTGGAAACATACAGTAGTTCAGACAAAGATAATTACTAAGTCTAAAAGCAGAGACATCCAATGTAATACATATTTCTTGGACTACTGGTCAGGGTATTCTAATTTCACGAAAACACAGGGATAACTTTTATGTTTTAATGCACTTTTTTTAACTAAACATAAAGTATTTATGTGCTAAAAAGCTCCATCTATTTTGAACATATGTGTACATAATTGAGCACATGCAATTATGTACACTTCAACATTAGCCTTTACTTTCTAAATACAATAGAACAAACACAAGTTTGGATACTGAATGGCGCAGTGACCACCTTAAATTTTATTCTTTTATACAATATTATCTGCCTTAAAAGTCCAACAAAACAACACAAGATACACTGCCTGGCAGAATCTTGAACAATGTCACATTCTGTAATAAAATAATCTACAAAATAAATATAACATAAGTAAATACTGTACTATATAAAAACTGGAATACAAAAATTTTTTGTAAAAAAAACAAAAAAACTTCTACCTTTATATACTCTTTGTGCCTTTGTGTGGTCACTACCCAGTCCTCGATAACTATAAACGATAAACGATAAATTCATCCCACATACTGCACATAAATTCATTTTCCTCATAAAAAAGAATACACCAATCTTGAGTTGTTTTTTATGAATGAGTAAAAATGTTTGACCCAAGGTCAATCTGTGTAAATGATGTCATTGAACAATCTATTCTTACTATGATGTAATAACATAAGCATTTTGTTATAGGAAATGTACAGGAAAGTGCACAAATTTGAATTTAGTTTACTTTGGAACCCCTACACTTCATACTACAAAATGTTTTTGAGAAGCAGTGGACATTCGATCAATTTAATATAGCTAAAATTGGTCATTTCTTCCATTATAAAGATTTGGAGGCTTGTTAGAAATAAATGTTGTTTCAGTTACACACTACCCTATAATAATGATAATCAATACACATGAATGCAAATATTCTCAGTTGTCTCCCTTTTGCTTTGTATTTTCTCTTCAATCACAGAAAATATGCAGAAGAAAGTATAGAATTATATCACTTAAAACATGTGGAAGACATATTATTTTTGTCATACATGTATTTGCCTGTTAGGCACATACATTTGTTGCCTCAAATTTTCAATCATGTTACATTGAAATGGAATGACACTTCTAATTATATCTTGGTGTGCACCATCAATTGAGTGTTCAACCAGAATGAAATTTATTTGAAGTGGAGGGTATTTCTCTTGGCAAAGTCTATTATATTCCTACCTGGCATAAGGAGAAGGGGCTTGTTATTGCAAAATCTATACTTTACTAAGAAGGAGAAGAAAAATTGACAGAATTTCTTCATACTGTGTGTAATTGTGCACATTATTTTTATCACATGAAGCTTAAAAGACCATGCATTATCAATTGGCTTCTGTTTACCATTTGATAACTTTTCACATTTTAATCTTCTCTGCTGAAACTAACAAGTCAGTGTGGACCATACTTGAAAAGAAAGATGTATATGTTTGTAAGATATTTAAAAAACAAAATGATTTGATTACAGTTAGATTAAAGCTTGTTTGCAAGAAGTAATTATCATACCTCCACTCCATAGAAGTAAATATACAAGGTCCATCTAGGGACCAACCTGCCACAATATGAATGATTAACATAAGCACTATCATGACTATGGACATTTTTAGAATAAAGTTAGGGCCAAGCCCAAAATTTAGTAGCTGAGGCTATTTTGCCCTGCTTATTGTTCACCCTGGTATACTGGTTTACATCTTTTTTTGTCCATCCCTCCCAGGGTATTTTTCAAAACATTTTTCTCAGGAACTGCAAATCAAGGCTCCCTGAAATTTGGAATCAAGTTTCACGTGATCATGTTATATTATCATGTGATTTTACATTATGGCTAGGTTTGAAATTTTGTCCTATTTATGAAGAACTTCAATTCAGCTGTCTGAAATTTGCTGTCAAAAAGAGGCGAAAGATGCCAAAGGAATATTCATACTCACAAGTCGAAACAAACCGACAATATCATGACAAAAAACTAAAAACGACCAAAAGACAAACAACAGTATACAAAACACAACTAAAGACTGAGCAACACAAACCCAACCAAAAACTGGGGGAGATCTCAGGTGCTCTGGAAGGTTAAGATCCTACTCCACATGTGGCACCCAAGCTTCATTTGAGCATCTTATACTCTGTGAAGTTTTCACATCAATCATAATCAACATCCTCTTTATCAAACAGTTGTGAGTTCTATCTCTGCTCATTGTGAGGTGTGGACAATCTTTATTGACACAGAGTGTCATTTTTCCTGCTGAAGGTCAGCTTGAGTTTGTGAGTTTGACTCCCATGTGGGAGTGGCAGGTGCTTTTGACTCTGATCTTAATTGACTAGGATTGTCAGTTTTCCTACTAAAAATCAGTGGTTCTCTCCAGGTACTCCATCTTCCTCCAACAATAAAAAAAGGATGCCATGATATAGCCAAGATAACAGAAAGTGGCGTTAAACACCAATAAAACAGACAAACAAAATTTATGAAATATTTATATATTCTTAGACATAATTTCCATGTATGAAACTTTGTAGCATTTTTCTCAGGAGCATGCTATACCCTGTGTTTTTACATCATTGTATATTTAAAATCTTTTTAGTTATACATTTCCATTTATTTTTTAGGGATTTGAACCAAGAGGGACAAAAATTGGACAAAGACTCAATACATTTGGCAACATTTATGAGAACAAAGGAAATAAGCTTTCATTGCTCCCGTCCAACTTCCACTCTCTTCTTAAAGATATTGATGATTCTGATGCAGCTACCAATGAACAGAACCAAACAGATGTATTGTCTAAAAGAAGTACCAAAAATAATGATTATTTCTGTGAATTTTCTAGTAAGTTTGTTTGGTAAATATGGTCACAAAATCTGGCCATATTTAAGATCCACACAAAACTTCCCTTGTTAACTTACCTGGTAATAAAAGGTCAAGAGCTTTTCTTGTCCTTTTGCATTCATTGTCTAGAAATATATATACATGTACATGTATATGTACTGGGGAGATGTGATATGATTACCAATGAGACACTATACAACAGAGTCAAAATGACGTGGAGTTAAGCAATTAAAGGTGACAGTACTGCCTTCAACATAGTCCATACTGTATAGTCAGCTTAGCTGACTATACAGTATGAATATAAAATAATGTACATGTTTGTTGTCCTTCATCAAATATTTTGAAAATGAATTTAGAATTTAGATACTACTGGGCCATTTTTAGATCTGATTGAAATAGTTACATTTTGTTGTTATGGTACAAATCTTATTTGTTAAAAATGTCCCTGTGAGATAATTAAATCCTTTTAAGCTCAACTGGCCCTGATGGGTGCAGAATTGTTCAGAATGTCAAGATTTACCTACTGTCACTTTATACAAAAACTGTCAAATAATTCCTTGTAGGAATTATTGCCCTTAAAGTGACACAGTAAAGGGAAAAACTTTTATCAGTCGGCCAAGTACCCATCTTTGTGTTTTTATACACCCGTTTATGGGATGTATTATGGTATACCGTTGTCCGTCTGTCTGTCCGTAGTCAACATGTCCGACAATAATTCAAAAACGCTTTAACCATTTTGCATTAAACTTTGGTGAATTGTTTATATCTATTGACATGAGATCCCTTTCATTTTTTATACGACCGCAAAAAATTTTTTGTGGTCGTATATTGGTATGACGTTGGCGTCGTCGTCGTCCAGCGTCGTCGTCCGGCGTCGTCGTCGTCGTCTGGCGTTGTCCGGCGTCGTCCGAAGACACATTGGTTTTCGCACTCTAACTTTAGTTTAAGTGAATGGATCTTTATGAAATTTTACCACAAGGTTCAATACCACAAAAGGAAGGTTGGGATTGATTTTGGGGGTTATGGTAATAACAGTAAAGGAATTAGGGGCCAAAAAGGGGCCAAAAATAAGCATTTTTGTAACTTCCAGACATAACTTGTGTGTTAGTGTATGGATCTCTCTGACATTGTACCACAAGGTTCCATATCACTAAAGGAATGCTGGGATTGATTTTGGGGGTATTTGCCTCCAAATTTTAGGAATTAGGGGCCAAAAAAGGGGCAAAAAACAAGCATTTTTCTAGTTTCATGACAATAACTTGTGTGTAAGTGTATGGATCTTTCTGAAATTGTACTACAAGGTTCCATATCACAAAGGGAAAGCTGGGTTTGAGTTTGGGGGTAATTGCCCTAAACGTTTAGGAATTTGGGGCCAAAAAGGGGCCAAAAAACACATTTTTTTCTAGTTTCCAGACAATAACTTGTGTTCAAGTGTATGGATCTCTCTGAAATTGTACTGCAAGGTACCATACTACAAAGGGAAGGCTGGGATTGAGTTTGGGGGTGATGAATCATAATGGGGGTTCAAAAAATTTTGGGGGGGGATTTATTTTTTTTTCCTTTTTTTTCTTTTTTTCCTTTTTTGTTTCTTTTAAAATTTTCCATTTTAAGTTGGTTATTTCTTATTTATATTTAAAATCAAATAATAATGATATGGTAGGAGATACACACCAAACAGGATGTGTAAATTATTATATAATAAGTATTGTGCAATAGCAAGAAATTTTCAATTGCACAGTATTGCACAATAGCAAGAAATCTTCAATTGCACAGTATTGCGCAATAGCAAGAAATCTTCAATTGCACAGTATTGCGCAATAGCAAGAAATATCCAATAGCACAATATTGCGCAATAGCAAGAAATTGTCAATTGTACAGTATTGCGCAATAGCAAGAAATATTTAATAGCACAGGATTGTGCAAAAGAAGATACTTCCTATAAATTGCTTATTTCTTGACCAATTTCAATGGGGTTTTATTCTTGATTTCATGGGGTTCTTTAATATGCTGAATCTAACTGTGTATTTAGTTTTTGGATTTTGGGCCCCGTTTTTAAATTGGTCCACATTGAGGTCCAAAGGGTCCAAAATTAAACTTTGTTTGATTTCATCAAAAATTGAATTATTGGGGTTCTTTGATATGCCGAATCTAACTGTGTATTTAGATTCTTAAATTTTGGTTCCGTTTTCAAATTGGTCTACATTAAGGTCCAAAGGGTCCAAAATTAAACTTAGTTTGATTTTAACAAAAATTGAATTCTTAGGGTTCTTTGATATGCTGAATCTAAACATGTATTTAGATTTTTGATTATGGGCCCAGTTTTCAAGTTGGTCCAAATCGGGGTCCAAAATTAAACTTTGTTTGATTTCAACAAAAATTGAATATATGGGGTTCTTTGATATGCTGAATCTAACCATGTATTTAGATTTTTGATTTTTGGGCCCCGTTATCAACTTTGTCCACATTGAGGTCAAAAGGGTCCAAAATTAAACTTTGTTTGATTTCATCAAAAATTGAATTATTGGGGTTCTTTGATATGCCGAATCTAACCGTGTATTTAGATTCTTAATTTTTGGTTCCGTTTTCAAATTGGTCTACATTTAGGTCCAAAGGGTCCAAAATTAAACTTAGTTTGATTTTAACAAAAATTGAATTCTTAGGGTTCTTTGATATGCTGAATCTAAACATGTATTTAGATTTTTGATTATGGGCCCAGTTTTCAAGTTGGTCCAAATCGGGGTCCAAAATTAAACTTTGTTTGATTTCAACAAAAATTGAATATATGGGGTTCTTTGATATGCTGAATCTAACCATGAATTTAGATTTTTGATTTTTGGGCTGCGTTATCAACTTTGTCCACATTGAGGTCAAAAGGGTCCAAAATTAAACTTTGTTTGATTTCATCAAAAATTGAATTCTTGGGGTTCTTTGATATGCTGAATCTAACCATGTATTTAGATTTTGGATATTGGACCATAATAGGTGAATGTCCAATTTAAAATTTTTAAGTTCTTATACCACATTTAATCTGTGTTAGAAACCTATGCTGTGTCAAATATTTAATCACAATCCAAATCCAAAGCTGTATCAAGCTTGAATGTTGTGTCCATACTTCCCCCAACTGTTCAGGGTTCAACCTCTGCGGTCGTATCAAGCTGAGCCCTGCGGAGCATTTTATTATAAATTATAGATTTTACATTTCTGAGTTATGGGGTTTTATTCATTAAAAAAAGGGGTATTTTCCAGTTTTTGGACAATAACTAAAAAATGCGTTGAGCAGTTTTCATGAAACTTTGGTGGCCAGGTTATATCTATTAAGATAAACTCCCTTTAGTTTTTGTCTTGCCTTGACGGAGTCAAAAAGCGTGAAATAGGTATGCTGTTTCCAGTGTCGGCGGCGGAGGCTGTGGCGTCAACAATGTATTAAGTTTGTGATTAGGTCTATTTTATGGTGAACCACCAGTGGTAGGTCAGTGATATTTGGTATGCAGTTGTATCAGCATTGGGACATTTCATTTCCATGGAGATTATTTGGCCCTGCCCCCTCAGTCATGGTCTATTGACTTTGAAACTTTTGCTTAGTTTACATGTATTAGTTTGTGATTAGGTCAGTTTATGAGGAACCATTAGTGGTAGGCCAATGTTAATTGGTATGCAGTTGTATAAGCATTAGCACATCTCATTTCCATCAAGATTATTTGACCCCGCCCCCTCAGTCATGGTCTATTAACTTTGAAACTTTTGCTTAGTTTACATGTATTAGTTTGTGATTAAATCAGTTTAAGATGAAGCGCTAATGTTAAGTCAGTGATATTTGGAATGCAAATTTCTTGGCATTTGCAAGACTCGTTTCCATGGAGATTATATAGCCCCACCCTGTCATCATGGTTCATTGACTTTGGAACTTTTACATAGTTTACAAGTTTATGTTTGTGTTTAAAGGGAACGAATAATAATAAGTCAATGGTATTTGGTATGCAGTTGTATTAGCATTGGCACATCTCATTTCCATGGAGATTGTTTAGCCATGTACATTCAGTCATGGTCTATTGACTTTGAATATTTGCATAACTTACATGTTAAAGAATTGCTATTTTAATTTCAACATTTGCATTATCAAAATTACAAAAAGGCGAGACATATCTCTCTGTTAACAGTTTATTCATAAATTTCTGATATGACATTGAGAAGTTATTGAACTTATTCTTTGAAAAAGCGACGGGTGTATCATGCGCTCATGGCACAGCTGTTTATTGTGGTTTGATACTACCAGGGATTGACCTACATGTATTACTCAGTATGAGATCAATGATTTGGCAGCATACTATATGATTTTTTTGGCATTTTTTGTGATTATCTTAAAAACTATAATAGTTGAAGCAAAACTGTACTGAGCAAACATGATCAGCAAGACAAGATTTACAAAATAGTTAATTGAGATAAATCATCAATTGACTCTACATGGGGTTTTTCTCAGAGAATGACAATTTTTTAAAAATGTTCTTGAGGTGGATCTTGATCAAAACTGGTCACAATCATATTTCCTTTTTGAAAGATGACTGCCATTGTTGCTTAAGATTTTGATGGTGCATATTTAAGCCAGGTGAATGATTCCAGCTTCTCTGAGACTCTTGTTTATAATATGTTTCCTGTTTCCTATAATTCAATATATCTGAATACTACCGCACAAAAATAAACGCATTAAAATAAATAATGAAAATCCATTAATGAATTGGTTCTGTTCAGAGATTATATATCTTAAAGTCATATGAAATTTCAAATTTAAAGAAAAGTTGAATATGTTTTATGATCCTAAATGACTAAGTTTTACTATAAAACAAGTGTATGTGAACTTTCTTGTAAAAGAAAAATCCTTTATATTATGAAAATCTTCATAAATGAACTGCTATTGAATTATTGTCTTCTCGTACTCTTATTCACCAGTATTTTCCTGTATTCAGTGATCTTAACTATGAGACCTTTCGTTAGAATTTTGGCCACTGCATAGCACAAGTGTGAGGGGAAAACCGTGATAAAAGAGTGTAAACAAACGTGCGCTGGAATGTAAAAAGTAATTAACTGGTTCTTAAAGAACAAAGCAAATACACCTAATCATTTAACAACTGTTAAGGAAAAGTTTAGATAACAAATGGGAACACATGGAAAATATAAAAAAAAAAATAGCATGGCTTTATCAATTCACTTATTTTTCATGTGCTCCACATTCTCTATGTTGATTGTTTATCAATGTCATGATCCGGTAAACTTCGGCGACAAACTCGAAAGTTAAATAGCTTGTAATCAACAACCACTGAATGAATTATTTTTGTCGATTTAAGTTATAGATTCGTAATGAATGTTAAAAATGTGCATACAGAACTTAGTTTAGTTTATATGCATGTTTTCTTACATATATTTCGATGTGCCCCGTGCTGTCTATCATTTGTTGTTTAGTTTTATATGTATTGTCTATCATTTGTTGTTTCGAAGTTATTGGTCTTTTGTTGGGCAATGTATGACAAATATATGTTGAAAAACCTCACCCGTAATTATAAATTATGTAATTCTTTGACCGCTTCCGACAAGTGTAACTTCAAGGCATATTTTAGCGGCGATCAATGTCTTTCAAAATAACAAATAACTGCACTTTTCTTGTATCCCTGGTGCTTTCGACTGGAGAACCGTTGTACACAAGCATTGCACAAGTTGGCACTCTGAGGCGGGTGGGGTGCAAGAAGGTGAACTGTGGTTTATTTTTATCAATAGTACCGCTTAAGTCGATGCTAGGGGCCGTCTTGACTTTGTTGTAGGGTATGAATGATTCATTCATTGTTGAAGACCCTACGTCAACTGTCTAGATGAAGAATAGGAATAAAAGCCCTGTTCATTGATAATTTTCTATGTTTTCAATGTATTGTGTGCGATTTTGTCCCATGTACATTTACTCCATATCCTTTCATTTTCTATGTATTGGTTCAATAATTTCAATGACATTACAAATACAAGAAACTCGTTTCATATGACTTGAAATATTTTATTCCTTTTTTTATTGCAGGTCAGAAATATAGTCAATTTGCACATATTGCCTTTACTGCAGAGGACAGCTCTAATCTCTTCACTGCTGAAAATATACGACAGATGTGTTACATAGAAGAACAAATTATTCGAACCCATTCCTCCTTTAAAGAATTGTGCTTGACTAAAGCTAGCAATGATTGTTGTCCCAGTTGGTCACTAGGAAACTATATATCTAGGCTGTCACATAAATCAAATTGCTCACAGATTACACAAGAGGATGTAAATAAGGTGTATAAAACTCTTGATAAATGCTCAGCATACTATTTTAATTACACTTTGGAACATGATTGTGAAGCTATGAAGCGAAGTGGAAGAGTTTATTCCCGTTGTAAAGGCATTCCAAGAAAGTGTATACGTTTAAATGGTGTCTTCAATATTTTACATCATATTACCGACATGAATTTTATACCAGAAAGTGCCAAACAACACACAAAACCTTTTTTACGCTATGCTATAACCTTTTTACCAATTTCTTACAGCATTGATACAGTGGAGTTATACAACCACATTGAATCATGGGTAGGATCAAGCAATCAAAATATCAAAATAGCAGGGATAGATTTTGGTATAAAGTACACGCTGTTTAGTGAATACCTTTTAAAAGATACAATTTGGATAATTGGTGCTATCTGTATAATTTTTATACTAGTATGGATCTATACAGCCTCCATCTTTGTTACATTTATGACATTTGTTGTTATTGGATCTTCCTTAGTTATGTCTTATTTTCTCAACCAGATTATTTTCGAAATCAAATTTTTTCCATACATGAATCTTGTTACTGCTGTTATGGTTATAGCTATTGGTGCTGATGATGTTTTTGTATATTGTAAAGTATGGCATTTATCCAAATCTGAGAGAAACAATGGAACTATGGAGAAAATAGTGCATGATACACTCCATCATGCCACCTTATCGATGTTTGTTACCAGTTTAACTACTTCAGCTGCTTTGTTTTCAAATGGTGCTAGCTCAATCACCGCCATTAAATGTTTTAGCATCTATGCGGGGACAACTATATTATGTAATTTTTTAATCATGATTACATTAATTCCTGCCACTCTTATTATCAATGATAAATGGTGCAATTGTGAGAGCTGGTACAATCCAGAATTTTCATCAAATAAAAACGTGAGTTACTTTTTATGCAAAATACCATACAAAGTGTATCATTCTATATCTGATTGGTCAAGGATATTTTTTGAAAAGTTGCTGCCTTTTATCATAGTGAAGTTTAGACATATATGGATATTTGTACTAGGTGCTTTAGGCATTGGAGGAGTGGTTGTGATATTCTTCTATCCTAAGCTCAAACTACCATCATCAGATAAATTTCAAGTTTTTTCATCCAATCATTTAATTGAAAAATATGAATTCCAAATAAGACACAATTTCCGATTTGAAAAATCTAAAGATATTGAAGAATTTACCTTGTTGCCTTTGACATTTGTATGGGGTGCATTTGCAACAGACAAAGGAGACTATTTAAATCCAGCTAGTCGTGGAAGTTTGGAATTCGACAAAACATTCAATGCAATTACTCCAAGTGCTCAAACATGGTTGTTGCAATTTTGTAATAAACTGAAAAATACTGATTTTTATCAGGAGACACCAGGATATCAGCTCACAAATTGTTTTTTTGATAAATTTCGTGATTATTTACAAAAGCCTTGTCTGTTTGTAGATGATTTTCCATGTTGTAATAATACATATCCAAAATCAGAAGAAATTTCGTATTGTTTATATAAATACATTCCAATGCTCATGAATACTCCAGGTGTTCAGTACAGTCAGATTACTCCAGGCATAAGATACAAAGACAATAGTATCAGTCTTATTATTGTGGAATACATGAGCAATGTACAGTTTTCATTTTCTTACTCAAAGACCAAAGATTTTTATACTAAAGTTAACAGCTGGTTTACTCAGGAACTTCAATCAGCACCACCCGAAATGAAAAATGGCTGGTTTGTCAGCAACCTAGCTATGTTTGATCTCCAGAATAGTCTTTCAGAAGAAACACCCATTACCATGGGGATTTCTCTTGGTGTTGTTGCTGCTGTGATTTTTATAACTACATTAAATGTTTTCATCAGTATTTTTGCATTGATTAGTGTTGCATGTATTATGTTTCTCACCATTGGAACATTGGTGCTCCTGAATTGGGAACTGAATATATTAGAAGCTGTGATCCTTACTGTAGCACTTGGCATGTCAGTAGATTATACTCTTCATTATGCTGTAGTTTATCGATTATCTCCAGATATTGACCGTGAGAATAGAATTGTGAGTTGTGTTCATAGTATGGGAAGTGTCATCACTATGGCAGCAATTACCACATTCCTAGCTGGTGCATTAATGATGCCAGCCACAGTTTTAGTGTATAAGAAATTTGGCATCTTTCTAATGCTGGTCATTTCTGTAAGTTGGACTTATTCAACAATCTTTTTCCTTTCATTGTTATGTATTTTTGGTCCAATGGGTAATTTTGGACAATTCAATTGGCCAACTTGTGAAGTCTGTGTTGCAGCTCCAGAGGAACATCAAGATAAAACTCGATATACTATTTCTGAATTATCCTCAACAAGCACATATCCTCACACAACCAGTACAGCCACAACTTCAACAAGTGAGTCAAGAGAACTTGAATCTATATCTGACGATCCAATAGACCCTTTTCCTCTACCTCAACGAAGAAGATCAAGATCAAGAGGTCAGTATCATGAATATATGAAAGCTCGTACAAGGAGTGACAGTCCTGAAGAACTAAGGCCTGGAAGAACTGAAGGTTATCATTCCAGAAGAGGAAGTCGTGTAAGATTTTCTATAGGAAGTATAGAAAAAACAAGTCCCAGTCATGAAATTGATACTGAACCAAAACGATATGGTAAAAGAAGATCGGTGGCAGAGGATTCAGTATTTGAGGTATCAGAGGAATCAATGTCCTCTCCAGTAGAGGGCAGTAAAACAGAAGTTCATTAATCCTACTGTACCATCATAAGAAAAGTTTTCTTTGCTTTAGGTATCAATTTTTCCATCTTATAAATGGGAATCTGATAACTTTTTACATTTGTTTTTTTTTTTTATATTCAAAGGTCTAAAATGTTTATATTCCAAAGGTTGAAAGTGTTACATTTTCTTGTGATGGTAGGAATGTCATTTAATATTTGTTAAAAAAAATTTATAGTGGTCTATTATTTCAACATTTTTATATCTGACTCAGGCTTATTTATTATGAAAAAGTTTTTGCTTATTGATAATTTTATTTTTATCAAAAGTATGAATATTAGTCATCAATGACTTACAGTTAAATAAATTGTTGATTTTTGTGAGAAAAAAATTTGCATAATTTTGTAAGAATTTTTATCTGCTTGTAGCTAAGCATCTCTTTTGAGTGAGTTTGAAAGTTTTAACTGTAAATGGTATAATCATGTATCAATTTAAGGAATACTTAGTGAAGGTATTCTCTGTTTATATTTTTTTTTTAAACTCTATTGACAACTTATGTAGACAACTGTTTAGAATATCTGCATGATATGCTTATTATGCTTTTTGCATTCATTGTTGATCAAAATTATAAAAAAAAAACAAAAAACAGAAACTCATTTAAAAAGTTAATAGTTTTTCCTATAAAATTATATCAAAAATACTGATATCCTTAATAACCATAGATACCAAAACCATCTTTAGTACTGTTAATAATAATTAATTAGATATTAAATAATTAGATGTTATTGTTGAACAATATATAGGTGGAACATCTTTTTGAAAATTTGCTTATAAATCACAGACTGTTTAAACTATTAATCTGATTTTCTTCTTCGAGACATTTTTCTGCAAAAAGAGCAATGCAGTTGAGTTATGATGTCAACATTAACCAGGGGAGGGGGAATGGTATATTGCAGTCTAGTGTATTACAATTTGTATTTGGTATTTGTGTTGTTTGGTTGCCATCTCATTGACACATACCCATATCTCTTTTTATTCATCTGTGTAACATTTTATATAGATCTAAATGTAATTTTATATGACAGCAACAAACTTTTTGCATCGTATAATGCTATGATGTCGTCTTCGTCAGAAGACACATTTGGTTTCCGGACAATAACTTTAGTTTAAGTGAATGGATCTCTATGAATTTTTACCAGAAGGTTCAATACCACAAAAGGAAGGTTGGGATTAATTTTGGGGTGATGGTACCAACAGTTTAGGAATTAAGGGCCAAAAACAAGCATTTTTGTAGTTTCCGGACAATGATTTGTGTGTAAGTGTATGGATCTCTCTGAAATTGTACCACAAGGTTCCATATCACAAAGGGAAGGCTGGGTTTGAGTTTGGGGTTAAATGCCCCAAATGTTCAGGAATTAGGGGCCAAAACCAAGCATTTTTCTAGTTTCCAGACAATAACTTATGTTTAAGTGTATGGATCTCTCTAAAATTGTACTACAAGGTTCCATTCTATAAAGAGAAGGCTGGGATTGAGTTTGGGGGTAATTACTCCAAAAGAGGGGGTGGGATTTTTTTTTCCAATTTTTTTTTTGGGGGGGGGGGGGGGGGGTCATTTTTTTTCTACAAAATTTTTGATATTTCAAATTTTTGAAATCTTCAATTGCACAGTATTGCACAATAGCAAGAAATCTTCAATTGCACAGTATTGCGCAATAGCACAGTATTGTACAATAGCAAGAAATCTTCAACTGCACACTATTGAGCAATAGCAAGAAATCTTCAATTTGCATAGTATTATGCAACAACACAGTATTGTGCATTAGCAAGAAATCTTCAATTGCACAGTAGCAAGAAATCTTCAGTTGCAAAGTATTGCACAATAGCAAGATATCTTCAATTGAAAACAAATACTAATATTTTAACCAATTTCGATGGGATTAATTAAGTCTTTAATTTTTGGGGGTTCTAACCTTGTATAACTTTGGATATTGGGCCCCATTTTTAAATTGGTCTACATTGAGGTCAAAAGAGTCCAAAATTAAACTTTGTTTGATTTCATCAAAAACTGAATTATTGCGGCTGTATGATTTGCTGAATCTTATTGTGCATTTAGATTTTTATTTTGGTCCCTGTTTTCAAATTACAGTCAAACCTGAGTAAACCGGACCCTGAATAAACCGGTTTCCTGTCCATTCCGGCCAAAAATTAAAGTCCCATTTTTTCCCCTTCAAAGTCTTTGTTAAAATACCCTTTGTAAACCGGACCCTGTGTATTCCGAATTCTGGTCTAATGATGCGTTTTGTATTAATGAGTTTATAGCTAACAATCAGACAGAACTTTTACATGCAATATATCGGACGTCACAAGTCATTAACTTCCGATCAAAATGGAAACCTGAATAAACCGACCCACTGTCCAAACCGGCCCTTTTTCATAGTCCTGTAGCCGGCCGGTTTATACAGGTTTTACTGTAGTTCATATTAAGGTTTGAAGGGTCCAATATGAAACTTTGTTTGATTTCAACTAAAATTAGATTATTGGTGTTTTTTTATATGCTGAATCTAACCATGTTGTTCGATTTGACCACATTTATTTTGCGTCAGAAACCTATATTATAAAAATTTGATCACAATCCAAATTCAGACAGTATCAAGCTTGAATATTGTGTCCAAACTTGCCCCAACTGTTCAGGGTTCGACCACTGCGGTCGTATCAGGCTGCGCTCAGAGAAGCATTTTATTGACATTTTGTCTCTTTTTTTTTATTCCTTTAAACATGATTTAACGTGATATCTCCTTATTATTTAGACAACTTAAATCATGTATTCTGAGATGTTTTTCCATTTAAATTTTTATGCCCCTGCCGTAGCGCCATAACTGTGTTATGTGTTATGAAACTTATACACAATGCTTATTACAATAAAATACAGATCAAGTTTGAAATTGGGAGTGCGTCACTTTTACCGTTCTTGAGTTATGCCCCTTTCTAAACATAAAAATTGCTGAATTTTTCGTTTGCGTTCTCTAACTTTAGTTTGCCTCAACCAAATGTTATGAAACTTTTACACAATGCTTATTACAATAAAATACAGATCAAGTTTGAAATTGGGTGGCGTCACTTTTACCGTTCTTGAGTTATGCCCCGTTCTAAACATAAAAATTGCTGAATTTTTTCGTTTGCGTTCTCTAACTTTAGTTTGCCTCAACCAAATGTTATGAAACTTATACACAATACTTATTACCATAAAATACAGATCAAGTTTGAATTTTGGTGGTATCACTTTTACCGTTCTTGAGTTATACCAATTTACAAATGGAAAATTTGCTGAATTTTTCGTTTCTGTTCTCTAACTTAAGTTAGCCACAACCAAATGTTATGAGACTTATACACAATACTTATTACCACAAAACTCAGACCAAGTACAAATTTGGGTAGCATCACTTATAATTTTCTTCAGTAATGTCCCTTTACAACTTCATTATGATATGCAAGTGGGGGCATCATCTGTGTCCCATGGACACATTCCCCATTTATTTAAATAAAGTTTTCATTACAGTGTTACTGATGTCAACTTGAACTCAAAAGTTCAAATATTTCAAATATTTTTTTTCAAACCAAAGTACATGTACAGTAATGCAACAAATACCTATAACTTTTAATACTTGAATTAAGCCTATCACAACTAACCTACAAGAATGAACTGCTGGTTTCATCAAATTTAATCTATTTTTCTAAGGGTCTAAGAAAGCAGCATCCATGATAATGAATTGTATACTACTATACTGCAAATCTTCAATATTATTATTAATATTTCTTTCCTCAACCACTAGCCTTCAATCAGTTTTTTAAAAGCATGTCAATGATTGTTAACAGATTAATTTCCACAGAAATATCAAGGGATTTTTTTTATCTTTAATTTAAGTACAAAATTTACATAAATAATACATGTACCATCATTATAAAGGAAACTGAGAGAGGACATTTATTTTTATTCAAAAAATTTCTTTACATGTAAGAATTTATATTGTATGAAATCCATGTTAGTTCATATAACTGTAAATAACATGTTTGAATAGTCTGTAAGTAATGTTTTTATAATGTAATGGTGAATTATTGTTGTAGATGGTACTTTACTGTTCATCTGTTTAATTCTTCATCTAATAAGATAATGTATACATTGTACTATTATTGTATTAATGGCTCAAAAATGGTATTTATAAAGCTCATCACATGTCATGGTTTATTTGTTAACATTAAGTGGCTGTACATTTTCTGAATGAATATGAATCAAGTAAAATGTATGTAGTCATATATATTGACATTCATGGCTGTGTATTTTTTAAAATAGAAATATGTAATAAGTCATGCTCAAGCTATTCTGATAAGTGCTTGCATGTTGTTTTTTTTTTTTCGAAAAATATGGTTTTTTTTTTGGTTTTTTTTTTAAATATATGAGGTTGATGTATTTATTGAATTAATTATTATGAAAGTTGCAGTTTGTTTTGTGCTGTTATTAGATCACATTGTCAAAAGGCCCTACAGGAGCAATGTACTATCAACCAAACATCCAGGAGATTTTAAAGATATAGACATTGTCTGAGTTAGCCTTTAGGCTTGAGGATTGAATCTGAATTTATTGACACTTGTTTAACTGAGCAACTTTATTATTTATGTAAGCCCCAGCAGAAGCACTATCAGACCTTATACATTATACATATGTGAATGTTTTTTTATATCATTGCTTCAATTGTAAGCCCATTTATATGATTTACTGATTCTAGAATTAACCATTTTCCTCCAGTTTAACTGGTATCTATTTTGGCATACCAGCCTATATTGATGCATCTTTTCTAAATCAACAGATATTGTCTCAGGGTTGATAAATCTGACGTTAGCTGTACATAAATTTTCTTTTCCACCAAAATATTTCATCTATAGCAGATTGAGAATCTGTCATACTGTCTTTGTAATTCTGTTGAGGATCTTAAGCTCTGTCTGACCTTATCCCTATTCAAAAATCTACAAACAAGGGAGCTAATTCTACTGCTTGAAATGAAGAAGAAACTGGAATGAATGTTCTTCCAATTAAACTTTAAATACTTTATGCGAATTTTTAAGCACAGTAATGGTGAAACTGGCATCAGATAAATGTAGAAAAATCAACAGAAATAAAAGTTTGTTTTGTTAAACTGCATTCTTATTCATAAAGTTCTTATTTGAAATGATAATGTTTAATAAAAGAAATCAAAGGAGTTAGTTAGGTTTATTAC